GATATATTTTGTCGAATGTTTTAGCTTGCATTACTCTTATGGTATTTTACGATTAAAACCTTGTCTTCGTGATTGAATTATTGATGTAAATATTGATCCAGAACTGCAATAGTCTGAACCGATTTGGCACAGATCTGAAAAATTTATTAATGCAATCGCAGTACCATAAGTTGGTTCCATCTAGAAATGATTGCATTTTTTGGAAGACGAATTAAACTTGATTTTTAATCATCAAAAATAATTTCAATAAAAAAAATACTTACAAATTTTTTGTTATTTTAAATATTCTTCCTATATTTGCATGCAAAACTGACAAGTTACGAAGACGGAAACGTTTTTCTTCACGCCATTGTCTTTGTTTTGCGATAATTTCGATGATAATAAATATATAATAAATGAGAAAACCAGCTAGTGTATCATTAAATATAATAAAGAAAAGTTCTCGTCTTTCTCTTGTTTGCTATAAAACAGTCAATCATAGTGTAGTGCTGTTAATTATTGAAATCTCCATAATGTGAATGGAAGGATCATATAATAGTTTGGTTATTACTAATTACTAAATAAATTGACTTCTTAGAAATTGTGAAAATCAGATGTAAATTTATAATATTTTTTTAAAATTAAAATATTAGGAACACAAAGTTATTAATGTTAGTTACAAATCCGTACTATGTTATGTTTATCAGATGTTCTTCAAAGTTTTATAAATTATTGATGCGGTTGAAATACAATCAATAACAAATCTATGAAAAAATGTAAAAACTAGAAGTAAATATTATGCGTGTGTATATTGAATCGAAAACCTTTGACATATTTATTATGGATTTCGTTCTGGGAAAGATCAACATTTCCAAGTATTCTTTGCCGCCTAAGTATGCTAATGTCCAAATGGAATGAACAACTGATTCGCCTATCCATTTTGCGTAAATCTCGTTCAGATTTGAATGGCAGACGCCCGCACGTGCACCATGTATGTGTGCATACACATATATATATATATCTGTATGTATGTATATGGATCTCTGTAGTGTGTATTTTCGTATTGCGGAATATCCGTGCGGCGGCAGAGCGTGGAATCGTGAGAACATGTGCCATTAGTCGGTGTGCTCTGGGTATTGTGTGCGCTCGTGCACCCGGGAATCGAACTACTGACCTTTCAGTTGCGCAACCGAATCAAATGCGGACTATTTACGTTATGCAACGCGTCCACACACAACGGAGCTGCGACTTTACTACTACTACAACTACTCCTTTGCTCCATTATCCTGAAGTCGTGTAATGTTACATTTTCGGCGCACATAGCATCCAAATTTAATGGATCGGGTCAATGTTGAGGGAATTTAGGTGGAAGCCAAGGCCTCCGCCGTCCGTCGGACGTGTGCCAAAGAGCCCATCGAGCAATCGGAGATTGTGACCACACCAGATGCGAGCAAGGTCACAATCAACAACAGTTGGGTATATCGGATTTCAAGAACAGGATCCGCTGCGCTCCTCCGCAACCTTGACGCAATCTCTAAAGTCGCAATTCTTTCTACCATTCCGAACTGCGTTTCTTCATAACGTCTCTTGATAATCAATGCTTCCGTGTGAGAGAGGCCCCAGTAATTACCCTTTTGTTGGCACCTCGAAAACGTTGCGTAACAACTCTTATATATTTTTTTCTTCTTTCATTCTTTTCTGCAACAATCCTCGCCCACCCGAGTGTTCTGGGAACCCGGGCGAGTTATGAAATTCATATTCCGAGCGAATTCGGTGCAGAATTTCACCTAGGAAGGAAACCGAAATCGATTTCGCTTTTGCCATACTCGATTTGCATATTTCTTTGTACAGGTATGCAAGTATCTAAAACACCGACCGACGAGGCGAACGCAATCCAATGAAGTAATAACGAGCATAAACACTTTCATTCTCCGCCGCAAGGTTACACAAACACACACATACGTACCAATTAACTGTGCTAACTGTAAATTAAGAGAAACAGATTTTCCAAAGCTATTAATAAACCTCATTTATTCAATCACCATCGATTTTCCATCATCTGCACCACAAAAAAAGCAAATCTCTCTCTCAATTCAAAAAGCTTTCCATTACCTCTGTGTGCATGCATTCTATTAATATTTTTTTTTCATTGTCTAATCCTTTTCATAAAACTAACCTCGGGCCACACCTTTCTAACCAATGCGAGGTACATATGACCTCTCTACGACCCACAGCAGCCCAATTCAATTTAATAACGAGCAGGAAAGATTACAACCAACAATGACTCAATTCCCTTCAAGGAAACGCAATTGTGACTAAGCTCGGTTTAATCGGAATTAAAATAAAGACAATTAGACGAGTGAAACGTTCGTACTTGATCGCACGCGCTCTGATCCTGACCTGAACGTATCGATATTAGCATTTGAAAATTGCTGGAGATATATTGAAAGCGGTTTCGCGCTCAGCGTGATTTTCATCTCATTCAATTTGAAATAATTGAAAAAACACGAGCTTATTACAATTTTAGAACGTATTTGCGATTTAATTCGTAATTATCAGCGTAAAGCTCTGGTCAATTGAGACATTCTCTGATTAAAATTAATTAAAACCGGTTAATTGCTGTATTTTTTCTTCTTTTGTATTTAATGATTTCAAAGTGTATAATCAATAAAATGATGTACACTTAATATCTAGTTGAATTTATTTATGCTACTCAAGTAAATGTTTTTTTACTTAACTAAATATTTTCTATATCTTATAGTTTTTTATTTAAAAATGATAATGTATTTTAAAAAGAGAAACGTGTATTTCTTACCATTTCAGATCTAGTGTGTACACACCTTTAGAATGCCGATTGATCGATTTAGTTTTAAACATAAGGATACAGGAGAATTGCATTCTAGTTACGCATATTATTAGATAGTAAGGTGATCGAAATAATAATTATATATTAAATTATTTTTAAATATTATAAAATTAATCTTTCCAATAATATCACCAAAAAAAATGTAGAATGGAGAAAATATATATAAAACGCACAATCAAAATGTGTTTTACTGTATACTATACATTATACAATATAGATTAAATAAGCCTGAAATAGTTTATCGTTTATCAATTTATAACTTCCTTTTTTTAAATTTTATTTTAAATAGGAAAGTGCTACATTTTTTTAACTCATAACAGATTATTGAAACCGTTTATAAAAAAAAACTATGTTCCACATGATGTAACAATGGGAATTTCCATTATATAAATTTGAATAGTAGATTTATTAGAGATTTCCAAGCATTATGTTCAATAACTATCGAATAATCTAGTTTACATAAGCATACAGTTACATAATATATAAAATGAACGAAGTGCGCTGATGAGACTTGATATGAAGTATATTATATAGTCATTTATTTAATTCATTTTCTTAATCATACTTTTCGAATATTATTTTTTGTCATTCGCTACAATATGCAGCTTGCAGAAATTCTCTTCAGTGCAGAGATAACAGTTTTTGATTTCCTTCTACTATAATTTATTTACGTAAAGAATCGTTCGAATGACTACGTAGAATGTACTGTTTACGTAACAGATTGTTATTTGTGCGCATGAAAAGATTCTTACTGGATCGCCTACAGATCATTAAATTGCTGTTATTTTAATTAAAATGCACTGCATTCCGATACGTTAATACACCTAAAAGGAATTTTCTCGGTATTTTCCTCTATTGAAAGACAGCATATATCAAATTTCTCTTCTACAATAGGTACAGTGATTCAGTACCTGTAATTAATCCTGTTTCAGTTTAACTATAATAGTAAGTGTGTTTATTTACAGAGTATTTTAGTTATTTAAATAATCATTTCCTTGAATACTTTTACAGCAAATATATCAAAAAGTAGTTTCTAGAATGAGTAACATCAAAAGCATGTTATTACAATTTGAATTAATTCTTGAGTAAATAGTAGTATGATTGACTTTGTCATCTTTAGCTTATGTAATAAAAAATAAATAATTCATTAAATTGTTTAGAATAAATATACGTTTTGAATAAAAATATTTTTATATTCATAAAATTAATCATCAACTTGAATTGAACTGAATTCAACTGTGGTAATTTAGATGTATACTTATAAATTTTATGCATTTCCGGAAAATTTGACGCAGCTAGTAATGTAAATTGCGAACGAATTCCACGCCGCAATTATCATAAAAGTTTCATTTGTTTATTAGAAAGCGTCGGCCAGGAAATAATACATGTTCACTATATGTATCTGTCGATTATTGCAGACCATTGCATAATTACTTTCCTTTTTTCCCCAATCCGCTCAGTCGCTTTTCATCTCGTGGAAAATCCTGCACACTCGTTTTTTTCTTCGCGCTCTCAAAAACCGAGTTACCATAAAATGAAATAATCTTAAAAACTCAAGTATAATCAAGCATAATTAATAATAATTGTATTCGAATGTGCAACACGCTGTCCACCTGTGATAGCGATTAATTGTTACATTATGATCGTTTTATATACACTGACAATTAACATTTTCATTTCTTCCAATATATAGAATATCTCACGAGATCAATTAGTGTCGCAATGATAAAGAAAATTGACGACGACATTGAAGGAAACGGAGGTAGGCCGTTCTGCAGCATTTCACATAAATTCCTGTCATTGCATCTGAAACACTGATTGCGCTAAGCTCACGAACGTCCGCAGTAGAACGAAATTATGCACCGTTTTTTTCCATTTTGTTTATGTCTATTTTGTAGTTGCAGCAGTCTTTCGCAATTAATTAATAAACGAAATTAGCGGAGAAAACGCAAAAGCGCCTTGACACGTAGTGTTAAATATGGTAGATTTTAATCTCTTGTCATTTAATAACTTTATTGTTAATACATAAGCAGGTAGAGATTTTTTTTTGTGAGAAGAGGAACCGGTTACGTAAAATTCTGGAGCGTGAATTGTTTCGCATGCGTTAAACTTTCTGCTCTGAATATTAACAACAAATATGTTATCTCTGTTCTAGTGGTTTGGCTTATTGCTGTTTGGTGCTGTTTGTCTGGTCGGCATTGAGAGTAGAAGAGTACGCGTGAGGCCCCAGGAGCAAGAGGAAGATTCCTACTATGCAGATCAGCAAGAAGATGAGAGGGTAGTCTACATTTCATCGGCGGATCAATATAATGGACTCTATGGACAGCAAGCCGCTTCCAGAAGTTCTCAGGACAACTACATTCCTAGACAATCACCAACTTCCAAGCCTCAAGCTCAATCTGTGAGGAATAAGGAACCAGCCAAGCAAGCTCCAGTACAAACAATTCGGAACTACAACAAAGTAAACGACGATGGATCTTTCACCTTCGGTTACGAGGCCGCTGATGGCAGTTTCAAGGAGGAAACTAGGGGCACCGATTGTGTAGTCAGAGGAAAATATGGATATGTAGATCCTGATGGCAACAAAAGGGAATTCACTTACGTATCCGGAAACCCTTGCGATCCCAACGCTCCAAAAGAAGAGGAAGATAGGCCCGAATCTGATAGACAAGAAGCAGACAGTGGTCCAGCCAACTACCCAACCAGACCAATCAGACCGATTGCTAGACCCGTTACTACCGCAGCACCTAAACCAGTCACTGTTTTCCAGAATCAATACGACCAAGAGGAAGATGAACAACCGGAACCAGAACAAGTTCTCAGACCACAGCCGGTACCAGTGAGTGATTATATTGAAATATTAAGATCTGTTTCTAAATTATTTTTATTTGCAGCAAGCGAGACCTCGTCCAGTTTACATTACACGTCCGCAATATGAACAGGAAGAGGAACGTCCAGTCTACCAGCAACGACCAAGGATTGTCTCAATCCCATCAACGACTCCAGCTTCTGTTATTTACAAGCAAAGCATTAGCCCGATCAATATTACGCCCCGACCGACCCAGAGAGCTCAACCAGCGACCACTTATCGACCACAATTGCTTCAAGTAGCGGTTACCCCACGCCCGGCACTTCTCTATACCAAACAAATAGCTTCAGCTGCTCGTCCAACTTCCCCAACTCCGTCGTCCACTCGCGGTGGAAATGGTGGCAACATTGACTTCGACGCTGAATTCCAAAAGTTCCAACAGGAAAACAACATCGTTGCCCCAACGCCCGCCGTACTTCAAAAAACCACTAAGCCTAAAGCACCATCTCCTACGAACCAAGTTTACTCCTCCGAATTAGTCTACGACCCAAGTTCAGGTCAATATAACACCCAGCTGTATCAAAGTTTGCCACAAACTGAGGGCGATTTCACCTTGAACCACCGCATCCAACCGTACGTGCATCAACCTGGTTCTCAATTGGTGAATGTTCAACAATTGCAATCTCAAAGCCCGTTGTACAGAAGTCGCCCAAGCAATAATCAGGCTCTATACCAACAGCAACAAGCCGAACTCCAATTCCAAAACTCCGCTCAACTCTACGCTCAACAACAAAAAGTCCGCAACCAAAATTCCCAGACTTCCCCCCAACAGTTCTACTACATCCAACCAAGCCTTCAGCAACCGCAAGGTTTCCACCAGGGTAGCCAAATTGACGCCTTCCTACGTGGACACAACATCCAATTTTAAAGACTTTAACTAAGTGAGCATTCAACCCATAAAATTGATGTATATAAATATGTTTTTTTGTATTATTATTTTAACTATGTTTCTAGTATTATTATTTACTTTTATTATTATTACCATTTTTTATACGATATTTATCGATCGATTTCCGTGTGTTTGTATATAATTTAATGAATGTATTAAATAAAATAAGCGAAGAAAGATAAGTACGCACTTCAATGGCCACAGAAAAAAATGGCTTGTTTCCTGTTTCCAATGCGTTATTATAATTAACGACAGCGAAATTTCTCTTTGTTGTTTATTGTTACACGAAAGTGAAATTGTACCAATCAATTTCTCTCTCCACTACAAATGGAAAACTTCTATTAACAATGTTCTCTGTTGGAGCATAATTTATTCATTGATTTTGTTATGTAAAGTTGAAGGAAAAAAAAACATACAAAACCATATTATAATTCTCACGATTAATATAACTAAATATATTATAGACGATATACTTATTAATTATCAAATAACTCACAATCTTTGATCTGAATACACACAATTATGGGAAATTAACTAAAATGATTTCGCCGAATTAATATATGCAATTAAAGACAGAGCGAGCGCGCTTAATAATCTATTATTATAGTTTGAAAACATGTCATTGAAACTGGTGAAAGTTGCAAATTAATGTGTAGCTGCAACTTTTAGCTGAAATTTATGTCAACACGCAATGGGATTAACACGAAGGAATTTCGTGGTTACATAAAGTCGTGGATTAAATAATTCTCAGTAGTACAGACATTATAATGTTGAGATCTAAGTGGCGTGAACAGATTTATTGTAACAAAACGGGTTTTTAAATATGTACGTTTTCCGCTTCCATTTCGCTCTTTTCGGATGGTGTAACAGGAAATGATCTGCAATGCGGACTAGAATAAATTGTTCACTTCTTGTTTACAGTATAATCATTATATAATTGTTCTGATGAGAGTAAAGAGGATAGACTACACAATTCCAAAATAAAAAAATATTTTTTGACATTTACCGATAATAGCGCTAATTACCAAATGTGTAATTTCAAATATTTAAGAAACCATTTGTCTGGTATACAAATGCTGGTGACGAAAAACGTTGACAGTTTAATTAAATATTTATAAAGAAATAAAGAGAAAACTAATTAACAACTTAGTAAACCGAAATGGTACATTATTAATGTATTAGGAAATTAGCATAATCTCTATATTAAATTTAATTTCCCCTGGTACGTGACGAATGACACAATACACAACGACCTAGACATGAACACTGTTAAAAGTGAAATCCCCATATTCAGTGTCCGTTATCAAAACAGACTGGAAAACCACCCCAACAGTCTCGCGTTATCCCTCCTAGACAATAGTGACACCCCCCACAGACTAAAGAGACACAACACTCTCGACCTCCCCTTTAGAAATTAAAAATTATTTTTATTGTTTAGATTTTCATAGTGCAGTCAAAATCAATTTTTATTTGCGTTATTATTGTCATCGAGTTATTCTTTTTTAGTTAAATTTATATTTGTTTATAGGAAGATTTCCGACGGGAAATCGTTCCGCTCCATGTTTTTATTTTGTTTTTTTCTGTTTTTATTTTCTTTTTTTTTCTGTCTGACAAAAGCATTCAACTTATAGCCCGAGATGTTGGCAGGTTGTGAATGAACAATAAAAGCTAAAAAAAAAGTTAATTTGTAGAGGTAAAAATGTATTTTTAAATGTTATATTTATAACTAAGATTCGTTCAATTCAAAAGAAAATCAATGTGCAAAATCCTTCTACGATTCAGGAATCCATGAGCCGGAACTATACCACGATCCATACACGTTATTGACAACATCAACCCTAGATTCTTTGTCAAAATTACACATCATTCGGCACTTTTAACTATTGACGTTTAAAATAAAATTGTTAAAATGCCGAAAGGGCGGTTGCTTGCAATGGTATGCTAAAATATAACATAATATAATATAATTTTAATATATAATATAATCTGCTTTATAAAATTATTTCTTTTTATTTCTTTTTACTTGTTCTACACTTAGCCTGTACAAATTCACAGGTTCTAAAAAACATAGTACAGACAATTCAAGCCGAGGTTCCAGTGGCTTTTAAAATTTAAATTAATTTGTTTCTGCAATATATGCAACCAAACACACCTGAATGTAACAATAAGCGTAGACTGAGCAACAGAGAAAATTAGTACTAGTACTAAACGTGAAGGATCGCGGTAGTACAACCAATTCCATGGATTCTAAACTCTACGAGGGGCCAGAAATTTCTAGACTCAACAAAGTTTTAAACAACTGAATCAGGCAACTTTGTCAACTGAATTAACATCGGATGGTATGGACTATAAAAATATATATGCTTGTAACATATCAACCAAATTAAAGGATAATTCCTTTTTCCTGGACATTTTCTAGAAAATTATAATAATGTCTCACTAGGCATGTTCAAAAGGTGGTACATTGTGTGTACGCACAAAAAAAACATAATTATGAAGAGTCGATGAAAGTGATGTTTGGCGAGAGAGCATGGTTGGTGTTAGAGTCTCTATTCCCAGAGGAATCTTTCCGTTACTGCTGCAATATAAGTATGTGAGGCAAACAAAGACTGCAGTCTATAAAGCAGTTTAAAATAGAATAGAGGTCTGAACAATCAAGAACAGCTTCCCCTTACAAAAACGGGATAGTACATGCATGTATTTAAATAACTTTTTTGTATTTTATTATTCCCACAATTTGTTAGGTAAAGTATATATATATGCATTCGAAAGTCTTTTTCTAGATTGATGAAACGTTTAAAAGGATTTATATATCAACTTCAAATAAAATAATTGTTTTCTTTTGATTAAATAAATAAAATACTAAATAAGTTTGAACAGACATGTTTTTACAAATATTTATTAAAATCAATTTAAACTTTCTCAATTAATCATATCCGCATAAATTTTGACAATCAACTAATTTCACATGCACACGTCAGATTTTAGGGGTCTTCTTCTCACTATACAGATCAAATTTACCGCCTGGACCTGCGACGTCGTCGCCTTCTGCTTCTACTACGACCATGTCTCCTCCTTCTTCGACCATGCCTCCGACCAACCTTGCTCGCCATGATCTTGTACTTGCTTTTCTCGGACTCATCCATCTTCCGCCAAAGTTTACCGCCCTCGATTGCTATATCCACTACTTTTTTGTTACCATTACTGAGACGGTACTCTCTCAAAAAATTCAAGAATGGATTCCGTGTGACTGGACCTGAGTGGTAGGTAGTAGATCCATCTTTTCTCGAGCTTGCATCGTCGTTGTCAGCCCCATCATTGTCCCCCATTATAAAAAAAATCTAACGGACCGAAAGTGCTAGCGAAAAAAATACGATTTACGAAAAAAATAAATTTTGACGTCTGACATTCGTTACCTTAGTTTCTAAACACTAGATTTTGTAGATCCGAAAATATTATTGTAAGCCAACTATTTCATGTGACATTCTTTAGACATTGAAAATTATATACAATCTCTGCAAAGTAACAAAAATATTAAATATTTTTCATAATATATAAATAACAGAAACATAACAAGATTTACACAATAAGAAAAAAATGTTTATTTGTAGTAACAAGTTTTTATTATCATAATTAATATAAATAACTGTAGTCAGTCTAAACCAGGGATTGTTTAAATTTCTTTATTTCCCAATAAGTTGTTTAATATAGTCAAAAACCTACATAATTAATATTTTTACATTATGAGCAAAGACTATTGTAGTCACCATATATTAATTCAAAATTAGTGGTATTTGTGAGCGTGTCGAGTGAGTTTGGCTATACGCGCATAGAGGAAGTCCAAGCCACTAAAGTAATTTAAGTCCAATTTAGCAATTTAGTAAGATCTCGTCCGTTGCACCGGTTGACCGCTTTCGTTTGTTTTTGTTATTTGGGCACACACGACGATCATGTCACCTGGTTTGCCAAGCGTGAGACAAGGTAGCAGCATCCAAGTACCGAAACCTGCCAAAATCTCGAACGGTAGTAAACGATTAGAATCGCAGCAGTCGTTTCAAACAGTAACACCCAGTAATAACAATATGTAAATTGCAGGACAGATTGGGTCGCGCCAATTGCTAGTCGCCTTCGTGATCACCGGATTTGTTCTTTGCGGCGTCATCGAGCAATCAGCATCGGTGACCTTAAGGGCGAACATCACATCCACTTACTCCGCTGCCGAATTTGCAGAGTATGTCGAGAACACCAGCTATATCACCAGGTATTGCCAACCACCGGATACCAATCGAAGCCAGGTGCATGCAGTCAGATCGATACCGCATATCGAGGTAAATTTTCATTCAATTCAATACTCTGAAATTATATTAATTGTTATTAAAGATTCCAATGACCAGGACAGACAAAACAGAGTCGGTATTAAGAGAAGCCTATATGTGGGGTACTTTGATATCTCCTTTGGCTGCGAGTAGGATTGCTGCAAGGGTCGGAGCGGAACGATTATTCGGGGCCGGCGTTTTGGGTGCAGGCGTCTCCGCGTTGATGGTACCTGCTGCTTGGTTAACACCATGCCATGTATTCATTAGGATTCTGCAAGGAGTTTTCATGGTGAAGGAAAATATACCTGTAAAAATATGCAATGTTATTTTTGTGCTTAAAGGGTGCCACTTGGCCTGCTGCTCATACATTAGCCGTCACATGGTTCAAGCCCAAGCAATTAAGTGCATTTGTTTCTACATATACAGGTAATAAAAAAAAGTTAATATTAATAAGATTTCTCTGTTTAATTATCAACATTTCATGAATCAAAACTTTATTTAATTCTTCATAAAAAGTAATTTGCTTCCGCACACCCACATCAGAATAATTTTCTTAATATAATTTGCATGGACATAATAGCGTGGGATATAATTTCTCACCGTCGGCCATTGCACTAAATAAAGCAGTACTGCTTATTGATCTTCGTGATGGTTGCAAAACAACAATAAAATAATAACTGTGTAAATGTGAAAACCGTCCCATTCTTAAACTGATGATTGGGTATATTCGCGTGACTTAACTAATATTATTTACCTTAATGGGCGCAATGGGCATCATTGAAAAAATCTAAGTATTTACGTAAAAAATCTAATATGTGACATAATTATTGCGAAAATCGAATATTTTAATTTATTAAAACAAAAACTTTGAAACATCTCATACTATTTGTTTTATTGCACGTTCTAAAAATATTATAACTTGAAAACTAAATATTAAAAAGTTTGGATTTTTAAATAATATTTTTTGGAAAAACAGAAAACCCAATGATTTGTAAAGTACAATTCCTAACGTAGAGACAAATATTATTAAGGTTACGATAATAATATTTTTTTAATAAATTAAACTACACTGTAATATTTATATATATTTTTTTTTATCTTTAATTAGAAATAGAATATATCTATGGTTTTGAACGTACTATGAATATTCCATGAAATATGATCCTAATAAATTTTATTCGAACAATATTTTAATAATTGAAATTCGTAAAATCATAAATAAATTCTTAACTTAACTACTTAACTTAATAGATAATGGAGATGTTTTAATTGACTTTTATTAAGTAATTTATTTTTTCAAAAATTTTACTGCAAACATTTATTCGTATGAATTTTTAGCCGTAAATTTAGGTTACGCTGTTGTTGGATTACTGGGAACTGCACTAGTGAGATCTCTTGGTCGCGATTGGTTAAGTTATGCAATAGCGTTTTTCGCAGTCATTTGGTACTTCCTTTGGTGGCGATTCGTAGAAGAACGTTTGAATCCAAATAGACCAATCCGTGACGTAAGCAACAAATTTAAATCATATTTATACACGATAATCAATTATTTTACCACTATTCTTCAGGAACACCGATGTCTTCCTTGGCGTAATCTTTTGTTATCGAAACCCGCCTGGTCTTGCGGAATTGCTGTTGTCGGAAGTCAATGGGCAGATGCTACATTGATGCTTGGCGTTACTAAATACTTGAAATTGGTGTATGGATTCTCTATTGCATACGTAAGTATTACTATTTGTGAAACATAATATTTTTTAAATTTCTATAAGTAAATAATATTGAACGAGAGAACAATATATATTTACACTGTTTTCTTTTCACACTGAAATATTTAGATATATTATTTCTTTTATTATTATAATAATAATATAAACTTACATTTATAATTATTTTGAAATAAAATTCTAATAAAAACAGTAATAGTTTTGAAAGTAATATTTGCCATTTATTTATAATTAAACGTTAAATGTTTTACCATTTGAATGTGAAATGTAAATGCAAAAGCAATTAATTTGTAGATATTACTTGAGCATAAAAATGTTTAGTGTCGATTTTCCGTGGTTCTCCTCAGTAAAAGAGAAAATTCAGTTGTGCAACTCATCGTCATTTCACAGAATTCAGTTTGAAGAAAGAAAAGAAATGCACGCACTCCCGGAAATTAAATACGCTTGATTATTACAGTAGACTGTCGAATGATTACTTCTTTACTCGTCGTAAAATTATACACTAATAGGAATAAAATATGCCTGACTCGTATTTTTTTTTGTAGGAAGATGTTTTGGCGTCTCTACCGCATATCGGCCACTTTTTCGCTGCAATTACTTTCGGAATCGTGGTGGATCACGTGCGAGGATCTGGACTTGTCTCTACAACTACCGCCCGGAAGTTCTTCGTTTACATTTGTATGACTCGCTGTTTCCTCCTTTAAGTAAAACTTTCTTTGATAATAATTAATTTCGTTGAAGCTCACTTCCTGCCTGCCGCCCTTATGTTTGTTTTGGGATACACCGGTTGCGATCCAGCAGCACCTGCCGCTTTATACACGGCCGCCCTGGCGTTGACTGGAGCCACTCCTGCAGGAGCTTTTGCGAGTGCAGCAGATATAGCTCCAAATTTTGCAGGTAAATAATAATACCGAATAAATAATAATAATAATATCTAAATAATAAACGTTAATATTCATAATAATTTAGGAACTGTCTTTGGTTTGTGCCAAACGATCGGAGCTGCTGGATTGTTAGCAGCCAACTACGCAGTTTCCGAAGGGCTTCATGGATCTGTAATACCACCCACTGCTTATTTATTGACAGAATATTGATAATACAAAGTTTTTTTTTAGTTTGCAGGTTGGTGGCGATTAGTATTTGGGGTATCCTCGGCTGTGCTACTCACAACAGCCACCTTCTTCATGGCTTGGGGAAGTGGTTCAGTTCAAGATTGGGACACCTCTTGCGAATTCGAGCCCGAGAAAGAGCTTGTCGAAGAGGCATCGCGCCTCGACTCCGTTCTGGAGTAATTCTCACGCCGATTAGAATAAAAAAAAATGTTACACTATATGCAACAATTTAGTTCCCATGGCATGAATATAGACGAGAAGATTTAAGCAAAAAAAAACATACAAACATACAAACAAATCTTTGGGAAAATGTGTATATCTGTGTATTATTATTATTTTTTTTTTGCGAAAAGCGTTTACTTCATACATTTACGCAACTTTTCACATTCCTTTACATAACAATTAGAGAAACGAGAACTCCTGAAGCCGAGTTATAATACAATGACATTTTTCGTCATTCATAAAATAATCGCGCCAGATCTGTTCTCACGGATGCAACTAAATCATAAAGTTGTTGCATATTATTTACGAACATTTTGAACAGGATGAAATAGAAAAAGGATTCAATAATTGTATAAAGTTTTATAAAAATTATATGTTTAATTAATTAAAAATATCTACAAAATGTTTCTTTCGTAACACTTTTCTAAAAGCTTTGGTGATGTTATAAAAAAATAAATTATATATGTTTATATAAGATTTTTGTTTAGGGAGTGGTAGGTTTTTAGGATTTTGTATTTACATAAAACCGCTTTGGCAAATTTACTTTACACTTTGGCTTGTACTTTAAATAATATTAATTTTCATTCGGTTTTTCGAAGTAAATTTGGGTTTGTAAATTAATCGAAGTAATCGAGTTCGATCTCTTTGTACCTTTTAGTTCTGCTTGGCCGCTTATGTTCCTCTTCTTCGCCCAGAATTTCGACGTTTCGAATGGCGTCTTTCCTTGGGATCGGTGTTGTAGCGGACTCAATGTTATCGGAAGATTCTAGCGGTAATGCAGGATTGATGGCAAGCTGAAGCATTCTCAATAGAAGCATTTCTCTTACTGGAGCCGGGAGGTATTCTTCTTCTTGGGCGGTCATCCTTTTGGTCGGGTGGTAATTTTGAGGCGGCGACGGTGTATAATACTGAGGACGTGGAACGAATTGGACGGGTCCGGTGTTTTCATAGTACATCTGCTGTGGTCGCGTTTGAGTTAAGGTGCTTATTTTTTCTAAATTGGTTTGACGCAGAATGAGCTGCTCCAAGAGCTTCTGGAAATCACGCGTGCTGACTGGAGGCTTAATTTGATCAACCTCATTAATTATATCCGATTGTGTAACGAATGGCCTCTGATGGACTTCTCTGATAAATCCATTCTCGTCCACGTGAACTGGGATTGGCTTAAACTTAGTAGGCATCCTCCTCACATAATACGGTTCCTCGATTCTTCTATGTTGAACTGGTACTAAAATTGCACCTCGGTGGAATGGATGTCTCAATTCTACGTATGGAGCCACTCTTTGTGGTTCATCTTCATTCGCTGGAATTTGAACAATCGGTGGACTTGGTGTAACGGCAACTTCACTTGCACTTTCTTGAGGATAATCCGTAGTAGGTTTGTGATAAATTTGAGGATATCTTATTGTTGGTCGATGAATTACTGGAGCTGGTGTGGTCGGGACTATTCTGGGTCTTATAGTAGTGAATAGAGGATGTGGAGAACCTGTTGTAACTGAAGGACTGTAAATGTCAAGTGAATCGTGACCAGACGCTTGTTGAGCATTGAGTGCATGCTGGCGTGGATCAAACATCTTATCTTGAGGTAATTGTCTCCTCAACAGGTTTCCTCGGAGTTCTGTCTCCTCAGTTACTGGTTTATCTTCATCTAGCAGCGTTGGTTTCGGTGGTATTCTTCTATATAAAGGAATTTCAGTGGGTTTTATAGTTACCTCAGGTCGGGACAATTGACCTTCTTTGGGATTCGGTGTTGACCTTAACATTGGTTTAGCTTGGGCTAGTATTCTAGCCGGAGTTGAATTCTCGTATAAATCTGTGGTAGTAGCTCTGGTAGTTGTGCTTTCTACTTTTCTCCGTGGTACAACTTGAATTACGTTAGTTGTCGTAATTGGTGGACCAGGAGTAGTATTTGTATATTTAGTTCTGTTCATTTTCGCTGGAATTCTTTGAACAACTGACGCAGGTTCACTAGTAGGTGGTAATATTTCACTACTATTGCTAGTACTGTACGATACCCGTTTAATTTCCCCATTATCATCAATGTAACCATAGGTGCCTTTGATATTTCCCAAAACGTCTCGACTTTCGATCTTGAATGACCCATCGTCCGCCTCGTAGCCAATAGTATAGGAACCATCATCGTTGACTTTCTTGATCTGCTTAATAATTTCCAATTTTCCATTTGCCTCAGCCGGCTCCAAGTCCTCTTTAACGACGTCGGATTCAACAGTAGAAAGCAGGAAGAGAACCATAATCTAAACAAACAATCATTGCGTCGTCTTAAATGAAGATACAGAAGAAACAATAACTTCATTATGCAATTATTGTTTAATAAACTACCAAGTAAATTGGAATCAATGTAAGATGGGGGAACGAGACGCACGGAGACAAACAATGACGCTTGGTACTTGATGAGCAATTAAACAAAAATAAAGGAGACGAAGAGAAATTTGCACGGTCCCCCGGTTAACTTGCGCAAAGGAAGTAGTTAATAAACATGCATCATGGTGAATTGATTAAATTCATTCACGTTCTGTTTGTTTAAGGGTTTACTAATGGAACTAGTTTTTAACTTTAACCACTTGACATACCTGAATTAATGTATTGTTTCCCATCTCGTCTGAGCAGCGACGCGTACGTCACTAGATTTTTTGCACAAACTGTCGTCGGTGTCAGCTACAGCTCCTTATAAAATCTCGAACCGCCGAAGAAGTAGAAGGATGGACCCGGTGGGGCGGCTGCCGCTTTGACCTTGGCTTTTTCTACACCAGCAACCACATGCTTTGCGAGAGAAAGTAAATAGATTATTAAAGCAAACAAACTAACTGACTTTAATGTTTTCTGTTTCATTTTTTCCCTATCCCATTATTTCTTTCATTAATGAATGGAATTTTTGATTGTTCAATTTAGCAACGGTCGTGTATAATTTCATTGTGAATTTTAATTAATTGGGATTTCAACTGTTTTCAACACCCGTTTATTAGCGTGCCTTGATTTACATGGTCCATTTGCAATACCTGTACAATCGATGTGAGGATTACGCACCACCATAAATTAGAAATACAGTGGATACTGATAATTCACACCTACGAATTATAATTTGTACAAGTAAATAGAATTAAGTTCATTAGATAAGTGAAATAATACTATATTACGGTAAGATGCAGATAGTATTATTAATTTTAATAAAACTACAATGCTGTTAGTAACTGTTTAGAGATTTGAGAGAAACTTTAATTTATAACATTCAAAGTGATTTTCAAGCTAGAAATTTTAACTATTTAAAATTTATTTAACTATTATTCGTATAGAAAACAAACATAATGAAATATAATATATCTAAATATAAGAAAATCTAATAAATCAATTTATTAATCTATACATTAATGTCAATGATTATGTAATTTTCAGTCCTTCACTAAATATCAGAATTGCACTTAAAAATTATATTCCAAGATGAAGTATAAATACTTAACTTGCAGCCAAAACTGTTATCAATTGTCAGAAGCAAAAAATATTTTTTTTAACTTAAAAATAGTTAATAGTTAAAATAGTTTTGATACTATTTTTAGTATCACAACTAAAATAATATGCGATTTTATAAGAATGACTATCTTTTAAATATAATCTAAAAAATGCAATAAGTGTATAACTTTTTATTTTTATCGACCAATAATTATGAAACAGAATTTACGAAGAAATAATTAATTTAAATATATGTCATTGCATATTAATTATAATGTTTAACTCTACTTAAAACAATTGATGAAATATTTACGAATATAACAAAAAAATCATCTATTAGATAATCAAGATAATAATAAATAAATATATGTTACTATTATGATAAAGGTACGTAGTTATGTAAATGTACACATTTACCAGTTTAACTTACATTTACCAATAGCTAATAAATGGATATAAGCATAAGACAATTTGGAAAATGATGCAGTTAAAATACAAAAAAAAACTAAAATTCCTTCTTACCGTTAAAATACCGATAGCAGATGTTGAAAAAGGTCAAACAGATTCCAGAAATTTACTATGTGTACTATTGACTGTCTATGAGAATAAACAATATTATCAAATATGTTTTAACTATTCGTGATGGCCCTAATGTTGAAATATCAGTAAGGAAAGTTATTGCGAAGGAATCTCTAACTGGAGGACAGGGATTTAAGAATGCAACTACAAAACAAAATATATAAGTATATAATATTTATGTTTATTATTTTTAATTTTAACCTACATACGTTAGTAAATGTGTACAATTACCGTAATATTACCACCATTATATATATACATCATCAGAGTCTGAAAATAATATTGCGAACCATTGGACATAAAAAACGTGTCCCAGAATTTTTTGAAATATATTTTAGAATTTCTGTTTAATTAAAAATAATAATTGATTGGACTAATTCCATATACTCGGATTTTCTTGGCGAAAGTAAGTAAAGGTACTAAAGTCTTGTTTACAAATATTTTTATTTGTAAATAAGTAAGACATGTAATGAAACAAATTCGTTATTATGGAACAATGGAATTTGCAGGATAAGAAATATATTAAAGGTTATCCATTTACATCAAACCCTGGTATCAACAATTTCATTTAGTGAAAGAATACTAGAGTAATATTAAACGTATTTGTGTTCTATTTCCGCACGATAGAAAAAAATGCCTTATAAACTTATGTTTTATTTTATTTCATGAGGTTAAAAATAATAATAAATAATTTATTATGCCCTTATTACAAGTATAATCATTATTATTTAAAAAAATGAACATTTCTTGACAATAAATAAGGACAAAGCAATATTTGTATGGATTGATATGTACATATAAAGCTTTTTAATCCATATCGCGGTAGAGCAAGATAATCTCTTCCAGTATCTGGGTTCCTGTTAGAAAGTCGCGTCATAAAGCGACCTGGACGCAACTCCCGCAGGGATTGATTGTGTCCCTCCCTCCCTATTGCCATCTCTCAAAATCTCTCGCTCACTCTTGCACAACTCACTTGTCACTGAGATATGGAATGGACATTTTTTTTCGCTTCTTCCAAATTCTGTTATCCTAATCGGATGTTGCGTCATAACTCGGTCGAATCGTGTAAAAATAAAATCACATCATCCCCTATAGCGCTCTCGGATAATTATCACCTTTGGAACACTCGCATTTTTGCAAGTCCTGTTTTCCTGTTTCCAAGTCTCGGCGTAAAGAGAACTGCGTATACAAACTACTAACTCTCTCTATCCTTACAATATATGCTCTCATGCCACTTCAATTTACGTTGGAATATATCCTACAGGAAGGAAGTTTATACTTCAGGCAAGTATGATGTCCTGTGAGAAAGTGGCGCTTTAAATCGCCCTGGCCTCGTCTGGTGTCATGTCCACTCTGACGACGCGCACCCCCTTTCAAATCCTACTTCCCTGATACAGGTTTCAGTTATAAAGAGACCTGTACGTTTCCCGTCGTATCCCATGGGATCATTTTTATATATTCCTGCATTTTCCCTCCAATTCATTCCTTCGACTCAATTACCCAACTACATTCACATATCGCTGTTCTCCTGTTGACTTGGCCGCAGTTAAAGTGACCTAAACGCATCCCCGAATCCAGTCCCTCTTTATCTATCTTTCTTCTTCGGCAAAACGCGCGTATGATCTACTCTTCAATATGCTGGTTTCCTGATAGCATCTCGCGTTAGTACGCGAATCCGTTACTTAAGAGTATCGCGATATTTAAATTTCAACTATTTACAACCATAAAAATATGTAAAAAATCCTACTTCACTTTTAATGTATAAAGGTAGAAAATAAAAGATATGTATTATTTATTACATTCATGAATTAATAAAGATACTTAATTTTATACATAACAATTAAACTCATAAGTTCATAATAATGTAAGTGGTGGACAAGTATGTATATATTTTCTTATTTATGTATATTTTATATATAGTATAACTATATCAAAGCGTATAACTAAATAGAAACAAAAAAAATCTATAAAAAGGCAAAATATCTCTCCTTTCTAAAATATTTTTTTTAAACAAATAATACATATAATTTTTATTATTTGGGCGGAAGCACATCAATATATTTGAAGTAAACAATATATTTTGATATTCATTTTACTTGTAGGTTGATTTTGTTTTTAATAATTTTCAACCTAAATGTAACAGTTAAAGATTAATTTAAAATTTTCGGGTTTTGTTTATAATTAATTATAATAGAAGGTACAATATTTCCTGTATTCAATTAAATTTCTCTTTCTTAATTGTGTAGCTATTTCTAGTAAATTTTAAAAAAATCAAGTAAAAATTAATATTAAGAAATATACAAAACAAACAAAAAATAGTATTATTATATAATATATCTTAATTTTAAAGTAATTATTAAGATCTCGCGAGTTATACCGTTTGCATTTGCTAAAATCCTGTTCGAAACTTTCGACACTTCGAATTCTATTAATCTACAATTATTAATAATAAATACTATCTTCTTTTCACCTATACTCTCCTGATAGATATTTGCGGCATAAGAAAGTGAAACTTAATTGATTTAATAATATTTAATATAATTTGTATTAAATAAAATGTTTGCTACATTTTAAAATGTTAAATAGATTAAAAATACATCTGTTTATTACAAATCAAACTACGAAAACATAAACTGCATGCAAAAACTGTTCGTTTAATCGATCTTAAGGCATATTAATAATTATTGAATAACAAACAATAATTATAGAAGTTTAATCCTGTATAGGCATGTAATTTATATAAAAAAATAATCGATTTCGTTTCCGCAGTTCTGCTATCCTGATTGCAACTGTATTCTCAACGGTTTGCATTCTCATTGAAATCCATATATAGATGTACTTATTAAATTAAGTATTATTTTTATTTGCATCAAAAATATAAATAAAATATTCGCACAAACTACCTATTCTACCCTATCATTGAACAGAGAAAAATACTGAATTGTCAGAAGAGCTGCCTTCTTATGGATAGCGAGCATATTACTATGTATATTTGATTAAAATTATTATTTTGATGAACATATATAATTATCAATTAAGTTTCAGTTAAGTACAACTGGTACTCCTATACCAGTATCATTTGTTTTCTTTTCTTACTCCGTAGTTTCTTGATTTATATATCGGCTTATAAATTATTAACTCACAACAACAATGTAAAGTCTAAGAAATGTAATATATAACAATTAATAAATGAAATTTTAAAGTAATAAGAACATAAGTTGATTATTAATAATTTACTAAACATGTTAATTAGATTAATGGTCAATACAAGATACTTTCGTTGAATTAAACTATTTAAAGTTTATGGATTTACATATAATTAATTGATAAAAGATATCCATTTGTTATTCATTTATAAATAAGTTTATACATTCCAAATAGGTAGTTCTTAGAAATAATTGATTATATAAGAATAAAAGCGCAATTATATTTCTTTTTTTTTATAATTTCAACTTTAACCAGAAATAGATTTTTTCACAATAAATTATATATATTTAAATAAAAAAAAGAATGGAATAAATTTAGGTCATACAACAGGAAAAGTTATCTTTAATGTTATGGATAAAGTTATACAAGAGAACAAAATTAAATGGAATAGGTGTGTTGGAATAAGCACAGATAGATCAAAAAGTATAATCATATCCACACATTATTGCATTACACAGAGAGGCTTTGACAACACGTAAGATGTTCGCTGATTTACAGAAAGTTATTTGAATGTGTGAAGAAATGGGAAGTAGTCATACTCAGATTTGTTTTATACCCATGTTTGTTGGTTATCTCGAGGGAAAATTCTAAACCGATTATTTGAACTTGATACGAATTTCAAGTTTTTCTTAATGATATATTTGAGCTGAGAAACTGTTTAAATGACTAGAAATGGCTCTGTAAATTGGCATAAGAAATATCATTGTTTCATGTTCAAGATAAAGTAAACGCTACAATGTTAAAATTAAATCTGTGGCAAAAGAGAGTTTGTAATAGAGAAGTGGACTCGTTTCCCTTTCTTCGTGAGTTTATAACAAGTTTGGCTTGTAAAATTTATACTGACACTCTGAAATGTATACACAGCATTTAGAGGATTTACAAGAGGACCTGAAAAACTATTATACTTCAACATTAATAAAACATACACGCCAGAAGGTTTATGCCATGCGAGTTGTCGGAATCAAAATCAGACTGATTCTTGAAAAATAAACATAAACAGTGTACTTGAACATGATTCTGGTTGCAAATGCAACATGTGTATCCAGTTTTAACAAAGAGAATCCTAAAATGCATCTTACCTGCCAAAAGGTTAAATAAAACTTGTTAAATGATGAAAATAATCTAAAGAAAAAAGTAATTGTAGTAAGTTTAAAGGTCATTTATTTAATAATTGTGTGAATTTTACGTTTCAATTCTTATGAAATAATCGTATTAACTAAGTTTCCCCAGATGTAGTGCGCGGCTGGTCTTTTTTTTTTTCGTTCCTTTTTTGTTAGCATTTAGACAACAAAGTTATAAAATATGGCGTGCGAATTAGGACTATAGGTTGCGTCAGGCTTTTAAAAAAATATTAACAAAGCGTTGTACAATGTACAACATTTTATCTTTGTATATCAAAGGTTATTTGCAAAACAACAAGTCAATGTTTCTTGAGTTGAATATTAATTTACATCTATCTATTATTATGAGTTACTTCTTTTTTTAATGTTGCTGCTTTAATTTATAATACAATAATTAAATGTTTAAATTGTAACATTACGTTACCTTCTGCTCTTTCTATATATTTAATTTGGTACGGACATGACGTAATAAGAATATTGATCTTAGGGTTACTATTAATAAAAGCAAATTAAATTACTGGAATAATAATGTTTTGAATCAATAAAATTAAGTTAAAAATTACTTTAAATAATAAAGTGTTATAATTGATATGTGAATTACGTTTATTGCATATATTATATCAGGATATTATTCCATTTTATATTTATATTTAAAATGAAATAATAATAATCAACAATATTTATCATAAAATCCGATACGAAAGTTGAATTTCAACAACATCAATCATTCCGGGGGGCAAATAAATACCGCAAAAGTGGTAGAAATAGACAAAAAAAATCAATATTCTTTTGCTTTATATATATAATCTTTCAGCATATTAATATTTTACAGTTTGTCGTTAATAAGAGAAAAAATTGGGTTAAGATTGACGATGGAGAATTTTTCGTGTTTTGCATAACATTCCCATGTTAGTGTGTATTATTGCGTGTATTATTGTACTGTATTGTTCATTGTATTCCTTTAAGATTAATAAAATGAAAACTATTATTCTTGTTTCTTTTCGTTATATGTTGTCCGTGCCACTCATTTGTATCACTGAGAAAAATATTTATTAATTTACCGCGGTTCATCGGTATTATAAACTTATTTTTTTATAATTAAATAACCAAATTCATATCTTTTAGTGATATTTGGAATGCTATTCTGTATATTAGGGTTTCCCAAACTGTAAAAATGAAATGAAATAATTATTTATAACAAATTATTAATGGTTTTTTTTTTTATTTTTACCCTCGAAAATAAATAAGATGTTCAGAATTTGTGAAGTGTTCCGTTTCAGGAGAAATTTTGGAAATCCTGGACTAGTTGATGCTATCGGCCAAGATCTGGAAGAGAGTAGATACTACTCAGCTGTATTCCTTCGAAATTTTTTGGTATACAGATTAGCTTTACAAATGAAGTCTTGAAATTCTGCCTAAAGCATAGAAAAGAAGGAAGCAAAACTACGAAGAGTCCCATCAATTCGGGTGTTCCACACAGGAGTGTCCTGATCCCAATTGTATGTCTATATAGATCAGATGTTTCATTCCAGGTTTTCACGGAACACTAGTTTATTAACTTGTTCTATCGTACTGTGTTCTCTACGAAATCCAAACTGATGATCCTCTATAATTCCATTTTAATGGATTATGGGTTTTAAGAAAAGTTTTTTCTCTTCAGTCTTCGGATTATCACATAAGCGCACGAGACTTCTCAAATCATGAGAGCACCACGATTTGAACGTACAGACCCTGAAGAAAATTAGAATTTACATTTATTACTTGGGATGTCACATCTCTCAGCTTTTACATTTTTTTTCTCGGGACGCCAGCACTTCAAAAACCGATACATTTTTTAACTAAAAAAATATTTCAATTGGAAATATTTATTAGAGAACTTCATAATTAAATTGCGCCTCTCAAGTGCTTAATCCGTCAATGTTCTTCTTTGTGTTTTCCTCGTTTTGGAATCATTATTATTTGTGTGACTTTCCATTGTCCATGCAACATTTCAGGTTTCCATTTCTTTAAGAAATTTTCTACGAATTAGATCATATTCGGGTTATTTATTTAGTTAATATGGTGGATTATATATGTTACAATTTTCTACCAAGAATAATTTAGATTTGCTTATTTAAAATATTATTCATATAATTCATATAATTTCTGTAATATATTTCAATTGACGAGCTAATACAGTTTGTTCAATAATTTGAACATTGTATTGTATTATATGCAACCAATTGTACACTAGGAAAATATGAACGCCTTTAAATATATCTACGTTACTTTTTACTAGCATCATGTTCGAAATAAACGGTTGTTTTTAACTGTTAGTGATCGACCAAAACTAAATTATCGACTGATATTTATTATGTTTATTGTTTTATATATTATTCTGAATAATTCAAACCAAAAATTTCAATAGGCCCTAACATTTTGTACATGGTAAAACACAAATATCGCCAATAATCAAGTAGTCACATATTTGTTTAAATTTTTTATTTTAGAAAATTCGTTTCTACTATTGCAATAATAATCGAATTATTTCATCCTAAAAAAACTAACTACATGTAGTTTTTTCTGTGAATGATCATAATGGTTAAATAAAGGGTCAAAATCGAGTAAAAATACAGTAAAAATAATATGAAATAATTTTATTGCATCCACATAAAAGTGAATTGTTTTTATATTAAATTAGTTGAATTAATATTCAATAATTATATTTATGTAAGAAATATATTAAAAAATGTTCGTGAAAGACTTTAGAAGAATAATTTATTGCCGCGAGAGATTGTAGATGTGCACCGAAAATTTAAAAATAAAGAAAAACATATTTGAGCGCAAAGAAGTTATTAGAATTGATGCAGATCATTAGTGTAATAACGAAAATAAATTAGATGTACCCGTCCCGTTCATACATAATTATAGGAAAATAGATTTAATAATATTATACATTATAACTCATTTATGGATGCGTCCACACCAGCTACGTTTACAATATACTTTTTCCTAATTCCCAGTGTCAAATGTGTATTGAATGTACATACAATTGATATAATGACAACTTACCGGAAGCACATATACCATCAGAAAACATGTGCAGCTGTCACTCGACTTATACTTATTCTATGTTGTTATTATATTATACAGCACCACGACCAGAACTCTTAATGAGAAATTGAAAATATTATATTAAAATTACTTTGATTTTCATAACTTAAAGTATTGCATTTGTTCCACAGTTAAATTTAATTATTAATCTGAATTTATTTTTGTGACATTTTTTGCACAAATTAAAAATAGTGTGAATTTTGTATAATAAGGTTGCCAAGAATCATACAAAATCTAGGACAAACTAGGATAATGACATTTAAAACAAAAAGTAAAAACTATTATTTATTACTTTTATAAAAATTGTCTGAAATAATAAAAATTATTTTAAAAATCCCGGATGACATAAAACTACTAATTTTGTATATTTATGTTGGAATTCAACTTCTGCTGTTTGGCCCTTACTCAAGCATGATCTTCTTGTTCTCAGTTTAATTGTCTACTAACAGTGGGCGATTCATAAATATTAACTAGATGGGCCTTTCCGCATTACAGACCCTTGGCATTCAGTCTTTGAACATTTTATAGGTTTTGTGAAACAGAGGACATAACTAATTTAGCCGAGGCTACAGCGACTCTGGTGACTGGAATCTCGGCCAGGAAGTTAGTATGCAACCGGATTTACTTTCATGTACAAAATTTCATCGAAATCGCTTAAAACATTCAAAAGAAACAATTAATTTTGAGGAGAATATTAACTCTCCAATTTCTGTTACATTTAACGGATTAAAAAAACATTATAAATTAAATCATTCTCTAAGTATTTTACGCACCAAAATTGTTGAAATCAATGATCTACTATCTAAGCATTTTTATAATCCAGAGAGATTTAAATTGTTTGTTTGTGCTATAGGAAAGTTAGCTTATTGGAAATAACCAACAAAGTTTTATTAAAATTGCACATTGCATTCAAGAGATGCAATTAAAAAACATCTAGTTAATATTTCTGAATCGGCAAATTACTGGGTGGCCTTGACCGTGCATTGTTTTACCGAATGCAATCACCATGGAAACCGTAAAATGCTTCTTCAAACGATGTTCTCTGGAGGATTCTGAGAGGATCTTAAACGAAATAGGAGTGCGAAGTAGGAAGTTAGAGAAAAGAATGAAACGTAAGGAACTTGCGTCCCGTTCAAACAGATAGAATCAGTTGTTTTCAGTCGACGTCGGTTCCACGAACAGACCGAACAGCGGTTCCTCCTAACGGGATACACGAAGAAGACTATTTCTTCAGTCGTGTACTGGAACGAACGGAATGATGAATCAATTGTGTCGCCGTGGTTGGTTTTTAATTTATTATTTGAATGCAAATTGAAGTAACGGTGTGGTATGTCTGCACGCTTTTAACAGTTTTCGTACGACCGGGGTTGTCTCGTTGTGGACAAGTGTAACAGTTCTTCGGGTGGAAATATTTTTAAATATAACAAACAAAAGGTGAGAACACGAACGATTTTTAATGTTTTTTCTCTTGGATCCACGTGGATCTTATCGTGTTTTATTCTGCTGCCTCCTACGGAACACACAATTGCCAATTAAAGTCATCGAAGCAAGCGGGAAAAGCCCAATTAACATTAATAATGGACCGGTCCAGTTTGAGCGAACCAATAACAACGCCTTCATAATTCTTTTGTTCGTGCTTATGTCAATCGTTGATAACAAAAGAACTACTGTTATTAAATGTAACTTATTCGTTAATTATTTTACTTTAATTACATCAATGATTATTTAATATCTATTGGAAGTTTTTCTGAGAAAATTTGTGTCGTATCCCGGGATGGAAATTGTACAGTGTAAATATGTGTTCAGTTACTGACAGGTCTTGGGTCGTCTTTCTAAGACTTTCTTATTTATAGTAAGGGAGATAGTATTTTTCTGAAGAATGTATTTGAACGATTGTACTTAACTTTCCTAATCATATTGTGTTTAAGCGGATGTACATATTTTGTATTAAGTCATTAAGAACTACATACACATATATGAATAAGATAATATAATAATTTATATAATATAAATAATACCGGTTATACATTTACAAAACTAGGTATTTCAAAAAATATAATTACATCCACTTATTGGTTATTTACTAGTGATTAATTACTATCTTCAATATTTAAAATTAAATTAAAGATTTTCAAGAAAAACTCTAAGTACACTTATTTTACAAATATTAACTTATATATTTATTTCAGAATTATTGACATTTTCAAAATGTTTTTATTTAATTTCTTTAGTTGTGAAACAGAAAACTTGCAATTTATGCTTTTAAAAATAATCAAATTATTTGCAATTTTCAAGGTTACCTACAACTTATTGACAAATCCGTAATTAAATATAATTTATTCTTGTTTAACTTTGTTTATAACTAAAGTGTGTACATAAAATTACATTTTAAATTTACATTTTAATTTAAAAAAATCTAGTCAGTGAAATATTTGTAGACTTTATTTACTGCGCTATTCAATCGTAATTACGTGAAGCAGCATTAATTCTTATCTGGTTAATTTTGAAATAATGAGCACGGAGATAACGAACGATGTTCAAACATCGAAAACGACAATCAAAGTCGCCCTTGTTGACGGTCGCCTTTTGTTCTCTATTTCCGTATTTTTATTTCATTTGTTGTTGTTTGCCGAAAGCCATGTTGTTGCATGAGACGCGTGCATCGTCAGTTCGGCCTATTCGGATTCGTTCAACTTTTATTTATTTTTGCTTTATATCTCTTTAGTTACATTCGCCTGTTATCTGCAACAGCAGGCGTTATCATCGAAGACCCCAGCAACCTCGAGACACATACGATCATCATCATCATCGAGATCATCAACAGCAGCATCGTTGTCCCAGTGATCGGCAGTTATGGGTAGCAGGATCGATGCGATGAAGTTGTGCATATTATCCTGCTGGGTCTTTAGTTTGACCTGTGGGTTTGTCCTACTGAGTTCCGCGGAGGAGACGGAGGTTTTCCATCCAGGAAAAGCGTGGAGTTATGGATACAGATCGACTTTGGCTCTGGTAGAAAAAGGGGGCACAGAGGCCGTCGGATTCAACGTTGAAGGACATGTCACCATCGAGTCGAAATGGGCGAAAGACGAAGAGAGATTGCTCAGAATTAAGGTAAGACACTAAAAAAATTACCATATGTTTCTTCAATTAGTCGTATTTCAAGTTACTAGTTTAAATGTTAAATTAACAATATTTATATTTTTTATTTGGAATTTTATGAATAATAAAAAAAGTAAACTTGTTAAAACGAATTTATATAAGTATATTTTATTCATTATAGATTTAGCTTTAATTTTCATATTAATTTATTAAAATTGATTAAGTAGTTTTCAAGATATTTTTGATAAACTAAAAGCATGCAAGAAAATTAATATCAATTTACAAAATACCATTTTTTTTACAATTAAAAATTGTGAAGTACTTTTCGAGATATTTTTAATAAACTAATAAACAAACAATTGCTTTTTTAAGTTGTTGTTACCTAACCTATTTGAATATATTCTAAGAGTAAGATTAGTCATGTAACAAAAATGAATTGTGATTTTTTTAATTTCAGCTAGAAGAGCCGAAACTTCATAGGAAAGGCGTGATTTCCGCTCTCGAATTCCTGACGAATCATCCGTTCTACGTGGTATGGAAAAGCGGACAAATAAACAAACTTTTGGTTTCGAAGGAAGAGCCTACTTCGCTTGTGAATCTCAAAAAGGGGATTGCCTCTTTGCTGCAGGTAAATTCATTTCTATCAAAAAAATTCAATATTTTGGATACTTAACATTATTATTGTTTGTTTTAGTTTCAAATTTTGGATATGGAAACCAAAGAGGTGGACTCGTCGGGTAATTGCGAAGTTAAATACACATCGGACGGCCCGAACAGAATCGTAAAAAACAAATGGTCTTGTCAAAACTCAGATTTGGAAAGATCGAAGAACCCGGATCCTCTTCTCGGCGCCAACGTCGATTCCAAAAGGGTGATCAGCTACGAATTCAGCGTGGACAGGATCGAAAACGTCATCGGCGAGGAGGAACACGAGATGTCGCTGTCGGCTAGAGAACAAGTTGGAAATAAGCTGATATCGAGACAGGAGTTGCAATTCGAAAGGTTTGAAATTGTTGAAACTGTCAACGCTAAAAATTATTTGGAGGCCTTCTACGAGCTGGAGTCGACCTCATACGACGAGCACAGTCTTGTTTCGGAATTGGAGCATTTTGCTTACGATGATGGCAAAACTTTCGCGCAGATTGTAGGGAATCTGCGAAATAATTTGATCACGAGTAAGATGGGAAGTATAACTTCGGCGAAGAGCTTCTTGAAGTTGGTGGATAAAGCGCGTCACAGCATTAGAGACGATATTTCCAAAGCATTGACGTCCAAGAAGAATAACAAAATAATGTTAGTTTTAAATTATTTTATTGATTTTTTTATTAAATAATTATGATTTTAGGCATCAATTGGTGGACATTTTGGGGTACGTGCAGACTTCGAATTCGCACGATGCGATCAATAAGTTGTTCCATTACGACGATGCCGCCCACGAGGAATATCTGGAGAGGTACTTATGGGCTCTGCAGACGTCTTCGAAACCTAACCCTGAGATTATTCTGGATTTAGTCAATAAGTTTAAGAAGACACAAAATATTAAGGAAAATGTTAAAGAAACTATGGTTATGGCTATAGCTTCCATGGCTCATCATTTGATTAAGGTAGAGCCGACGAAAGAGAATTTGAAAGTTCATAGGGATGTCGAAGAACTAATCGTTAATTACATGGACGCAACCGGCGATCTTTATTATTTGAGAGCGCTGAGAAATCTGCGCTCTCCTACCACCGTTCATGCTCTCCTCAAAATAATTTCAGAGGGAAATTTGAAGCAGGAGATTTTAGCATGGAAAGCGCTAAAAGCTATGGACGGCAAGGCTTTAACACCTGATGTATTCAGAGCTGCGGAGAAGACTTTCTACCAGTTGGACAAGGTGCACGATTCTAGCGCTCGAACATTGGCATTGGACGTGATCTTGGAGAGCGAGATCGTCGGTGATAAATTGGAAGGCTTGGTGCATTTCCTCATCGGAAACGATAAGGCCTTTGAGATCAAACAGTACGCCATCCAAAGATTCAGAATGCTGTCGGAAAGTTGCCCGGTGTTTAGAGGAAAATTGATGGAGATCATCTCCGGAAATCCGAAACTGTTGAGCTACTCCACTTGGGGCCAGAAGGGCCTTAGTGTTGCCCTAGTGAGGCCCTTCCTCGTCGGCGGCTCAAGCAACGGAAGCCTTCTCACCGTGCAGGAGATGAACACAGGGATAGTCAAACGTGGAAGGGTCAACGTCGTCATGGACAAGGATTCCGTCAGCCAGGAGATGTTCAGCGTAAGATCACACCACAAACTTATTTAAATTATTTCACTTTCAATTTATTCTAAATATTTTCAACTTTCATTTTTAAAATAATCTCAACTAATTCTACTATTTTGCTGCTTCAGTTGGGAGTCTTCAGCGGAGGATTGAGTAGCTTCATCTCTTCGGATAGCGAGGAAACGGGCGACGATGAACCTGCGACCGCCGGAATGGAACTGTCGATTCTCGGTAACCAGCTGAGACCGTTCACCTTCTTCAGTGGACAGGGAGAGCTTATGGGACATGTTTTCTCCGGGACGGCTTCGGAGCGCACCACAGCCTTCCAGGTATGCCAATTTCTTTCATCAAATCATTAAATCATAAAATATTTTTTTTAATTTTTGTCAAGGCTTTGGCTATGCTTCATGACCAAAAAGAATTCATCAGATTGGGATCCGGATTCGTGGCGGAACTGGAATTAGCAGGCGCCGCCTCCTTGGATCTTGCCGGACAAATACAATTCTCGTTGTGGAACAAAAATGCCGAATCTCTGGTTGAAAAATCGTGAGTAAAACACCTGGATAATTTAATGAAATTTCAACTTCTATCAGTAATTTTACGAATGAATCAATAGTTTATCATAAATCTTAAAAAACATATTTTGATGTTAAGTTACACGATAACCGTAAATGTTGCTTTCATATAAATACACCTACATTATTCTCTAAAATTTTAACTTTAATTATCATATTTAATATCAAGATGGATTTCGAGTAATTTTATAAAATTGCAAGAAAACCATTTTGGATTACTTATTATAATCTCTACAGTTTTAGCTTTAATTTAAGTATTCATAATCAGTATTATCAAAATGTCTGTTAATGTTAAATGTTTGATTGCAGATCTGCTATTTTGGTTGTCGGAACGATGAGGGTAGACAACAGCTTGGTGCGTTCGGAAATTGAATTCGTCGTTTCTATAGAGCCGAAGCTGAACCTGCAAACGGACATCGACTTCTACAATGACATAATGCTTTGCATGCGATTGACCCAACCGGAAACCATCCTCAGGCACGGCGTCTACAAGATTGAGCGTATCCCCGGAAGCAAACATCGCGTCCGCAAATCCAGGACGGTTTCGCTTCACGTTTCTGGTCGCACTTACGCCCTCAACAGGAAGAACTCGGAGATGTGTTCTAAACTTTTCAAGTGATTCCCATCTCTCAATCTCTATGTTTCTCTCTCTCATCCTTTGCCAAAGAACGATTTTGTTGTTATTGTAAATAATAAACTTTGAAATTTTGTACATGTAATAAAAAAAATTTGCTTAAACGAACACGAAATGTAGAGTCGAGTGGTTATGATTGTGATTCGATGATGTGTTCCAAAATATGGTGAAGAAATTAGGTATTTTATACTCTCGAGTGGACGACGATGATTGTCATCATAAGAATCTGGCGTTCGCGATGTTCGTGGCTTCCGTCGTGGACATCATCCTCTGCCACAAGATCATCTTTTGGGGCTACGACGGAAGGGCCGAAGATCAAGCAGCATGTTCCCAAATTTATTCTAATATTTACCATCAGAGCAGAAACGGCCACGAAGGTCCCGACGTCGTGCAAAGTTTTCTCCTTGTCTGTCCAGCTGTTCTGCAGACTTCGGAGGAACTGTCCATGAAGAGGCTTTGATACGACTTTCTCGAGTCTTTCCTGTAAGATAGCTGATCTTAGTCTTCCTTTGCTGTTTTGGCGACTTATGGACTCAGGCTCGAAATATTTGATCTTTATTTCGTTTGCTTGCTTCGTGAGCGAAGGCACTTTCGCCTTGGTCTCGTCGTGTCTCTTAACCGAGAGAGTATATCGATCTTTGACCTCGCTGATGTAGTCGGAGAGGCCCACAATTGTGCGGTAGTATGCAATCTCAAGCTCGATGAGACTACGGCCGCCAATACTTCTGGGCACATAAAGACGATCCACATCAGCTTTCGGGTGATGGCATCCATGGACTGTGAGCAGTTTCCTGGTCTTCCTGTCCATCTGCTATAGCTCAGAGCACAACCAATTAATAATTCCAAAACTGTACAGGAACTGCCAAGGTGTTGATGGCCTGGATCTTGTTTTTGGAATTTAATTCCGTACCGAGGACGAGTCTGATCCGGCGATCTCTTTGCGCAGTTTCTCCTTCATCTCCCTGGTAAACCTCGTCCTGGTTGAGTTCACGTATTTCGGAATCAAGGTTTGCTCTTGGACTGGGCTCCAATTTACCCTTTTTTATTAGGACTCTAGACTCTAGATGAGACCATTTGTCCAGTTCAAACTCCATCGAGATATCATCGCTGAAATGTTTGACTATTCCGATCTCCTGGTCTAGCTGTTTCTTGTCCCTTGCGTATAACTTAAGGTCATCCATGTAAATCTTCTAGCGTACTCTGTGACCATCCTATCAACTAGTAGTTGGTCCTTACAGCCTTGTGATCTTCGCCTACATCCTTTCTGTCGGCTAGTAAGGACGTCATCACCTTGTTCATGGTCGGAAGGCAAGTAATTGGACGGTAGTTCTTCTGGTCTTGTGAGTCCTTGCCTTTTGGTAGAAGGAATGTTAATCCCGCAGCGCACCTGGATCTTGAGCAGCTCTACTTAGAGCCTTTGCTAGGTGGAGGTGCAAAGAATCCAAGTTTTTTTTATCCAAAAGTTGTACACCTTGTCTGGTCCAGGTGCTTTCCAGTTGGCGAGCATTTTTACGTTGCTCAGCCAACGTAAAATCATTTCAACCACTGGTCGTTACTGCCTTACATGATTCCGCTTCACGTTGGATCCAAGGGGCGTGAGTGTTGTGCGACCTACCATCCTCTAGGATACCTCGCCAGAACCGGTCCACTTTCTCCCTGGAAGGAGGCTCAGTTACAGGGCTTTGTTTTTGATTTAGGCTCCTGTAGAACATCTTAGCATCCGTGTGGAACAGCTTGTTCTGGTAGAACTGATCTGATCGCTTGGTATACCTCCTCAGCCGCTGAGAGATCAGAGCCGCTCAATTTGCGGAGGATCTTCTTGCTGGTGTGTGGATCTGATCTCCGCAAGAATAGCATCAGTCTCTGCTCTCGTGAACGTTCTCTCAATCACTCGCCGCTGGGTTGCCAGTTTGTTAGGGTCGATGCCCGGAAGGAGGAGAGGGTTTCTTCTTCTCCAGACCTCGAATGTCCCCTTTGTTTTTGGCGCAGATACTTCCCTATTTTGTGCTGGGGTCCAAGAATGTTTCGTTGTTTTGGACCTGGACGATGTTGTGCTCTGAGGGCCAGGTTGAGAAGACTAGGTCTGGTAACTCTCAGAGCTGTCTAGCGTTGCCGAATCGATAGCTTGAACTGCAATCCCGGCTTGTTTGACAGCTTAGGTCATTAGCCTCTATCACAGTCGCAAAGGACTCATAAAGAGCTCTAGAGAGCTCTACTAATATTATAACGTTGATAGAATTTTTAAATCGCACTCCGTTCAAGAAATTATTTTTATTTTTTGAACGAGTTGAGCGATTTGGATGAAACTTATTATACGCATTTTAGCGAGCGCTACTAATATTATAACGTTGATAGAATTTTTAAATCGCACTCCGTTAAAGAAATAATTTTATTTTTTGAACGCGTCAAGCGAGTTGATTTGGATGAAACTTATTATAGTCATTTTAGAGAGCGCTGCTAATATTATAACGCTGTTAGAATTTTCAAATCGCACTCCTTGCAAGAAATTATTTTGTTGAGCGATTTGGATGAAACTTATTATAGTCATTTTAGAGAGCGCTGCTAATATTATAACGCTGTTAAATAACTATGATCTTAATACTATTCACCACGATTAAAACTTTTTTTAACCATGTAAAATACTTACTAAAAAATAAATTCTTAATATATTAAAACTTAATTTTGAATATAATTAAATATTCACTGGTGTTTGAGTTTGAGTGTTAAAGGTATTAAATGATTAATAAATATCTTCAAGCATCTGCTGAATCTCGTAATAGTTGATTTCGTCTGAGTAGGTCTGCTCTTCGCTGGAAGTGTTGTTATAACCTGGATTTACTTCGTTCAATGTTGTGTACTGCTCGGTGCATTCTTCGTTATTGTAAATTGGGGTTATAAACTGTGGTGAGACGATATCGTTGAATTGGTTTGCAGACGGATTCAGCGGCGGCGAATTCGATGGTGAAATTGCTTTAACTGCAGATTGATCCATCGGTGAAGGAGTACAGGATGACGATGGTCCTAGTAAATTGATGTTCTGATAGGGAATTTGTTGTTCCGGAGAATTTGATGTTGAAGATTGTATAACGTTGCTTGGGTATCCAAGATTTTGATCCATCGTCGGCGAAGAGTTTGAGTGGTACGAAGAAGCTGATGGCATTTGCATAAAGTTGTTTTGGTATCCGAGACTTTGATCCAAAATGGACGGCGAATTTGAATGGTAAGACGATGGAGAGTTTGATTTACCAGCAGATTGATCAGTCGGTGAAGAAGTATAGAATGACGATGGTCCTAGCAAATTTATGTACTGATTTCTAATTGATTGTTCTGGAAAATTGAAAGATGTTGACGATTGTAAAACGTTGCTTTGGTATATAAGATTTTGATTCATCATCGTCGAAGTTTTCGGGTTGTAAGATGAAGCTGATGGCATTTGCAGGACGTAGCTTTGATCCAACATCGGCTGAGATTTCATGGTCGTTGCCATACTCGTAGCAACTCTAATATTTTCCTTCTCCTTCATTCTGCGATTTTTAAACCAAATATTTATCTGCTTCTCCTGCAGATTCATCTCCAATGAAGTTGTACCTCACCGTCCTGGAGATGACGTGCATCTTCTTGAACGTCTCCTCCAGTTTGTTCAGCTGGAAAGACGTAAACGAGGTGCGAACTCTCCTCGGTCTTGCTACTCTTCGAGCGTTTTCACTAGCTTGCTCTTGTGACATCTAATTATAAGGAAATCAGAAAAAAACAAATTAGTTAGCAAAATACCTCCATATTGTTAAAGTAAACTTGATTCTGCATATTGATATTGTTCTGAACGGAAGACACTCGGTTTTTGAATGATGGCCTCAAGCTCTCGTCGGTACTTATGTACTGAGTCGGGGTTCTAACCCTGCGGCGGGGATAAATCCTAACCAATCACAAGGCACAAAATGTTTTCCTTTAACCTGTAGTCATGGTTCCCTCTTTCTATTAACATAAACAAAATGAAATCAAAAATATTCAATTGTTTCAATGTTTCAATGTTTCATACAATTCATTCTCTAAACTCAAACAAAACTAAGAAATGTTTACATTCACTTCATATTTCAATTAATTTAACAAAGGTAACGTAAATTTTACTTTGATTACAACAACAACAAAAATAATTTACAATAATTAAATACGAGATTTATTATAAAGTTTATAAAAATATTTACAGTTTCAATACAAAAATTACAATTTTTTGTCGTTAAAACGTACAAAGTATTTTATAAAATGGACTTTTTCATTATTTCATTAAATTTAAAGAAATTTTACAAACTTTACTTTAAAAACAACAAAAATCAACGTTGATTAAGAACAAAATTCCATAAGTTTTCGAATTTTCTTTCACAATAATTCACTTTTTTTGTGTTATTAAGTTATAATTTGTTCATCAACCAGATGAGATTATATGATTTTTTTTCTTGAATTTCAATTACCAAAAATACGTGAATTAAGAATATTTGTACAGTGGAACCTCGCTTAACGAGTTTAATCCGTTGCAAAATTTCCGGATTTCTACTCGTATAGTAAAACATATTCAAAAATACACATAAAAGGCGCACAATCCAGGACTTCTCTTCTCATCGTCACTCGTTAAGCAAAACATTTTTCTTACAATTCATTTTGATATTATTGAATTTTGTTCAAAAATCAAAGTTAATTAAAAAAATTATAAATATTTTCAAAACTCACAAAAAACGGTTACTTAAGAAACATTTTATTATTATAATTATTGATTTCATGAATAATATTTTCTGAGCGACAACAGAAATAGTGGGAAAAATTATAGACTTCTAGATATAAGATTTTTCTCCAACTATAGTAATTAAAATCGCAATTAGCAAGGGAACCCGAGCTTACCCAATCCCTCCAAATCCCAACTCATCACATTCCACCACCCCAGAATCCGCTCTTCCCAACCCCTCGCCATCACCCTGTGGGATTCCCGAATCCTCAAATCCAAAGCAGCTACGTACCTCGGAATCCAGCTATCGCAAACCCTAAATACTCAGCATGCTCTCGGTCCCCTCTTTAAAAAAGCAAATCAGCGATTAAATCTTATTTCCTGCCTCCGCTTCAAACGGGGTGGTTGCTCCGCTGAAACACTTCTCCCTACCTACAAAGTTTTCATCCACCCTATCCTCACTTACCCCATAACATACTACACCATTGCTCCACCCAGACAACTAAAAAGAATCCTTCAGTTTGAACGCAAATGCATCCGCAAAATCCTTCGCCTTCACTACCGACACACCTCTTCACCTCACCTGGTCACCTTCCCAAACATCCTCGAATACATAAAACAACTCCAAGGCCGACTCGCTTCACGCATAGCCCTTCAAGATCACCCCACCCTCTCACTCTTCAAACCCCCTTTAGGTGCAACATTCTGCAAAGTGCCAAAGGAAAAAATCCCTCACCCCCCTGCCGTTCTGGCGTCCTACGCTAACTCCAACGACCCCACATTAATACAACTTCTCCAAGACTTTAAAAAACACTCCCCCTCAGTGATGTAAAATATTCGTTTTTTCGTGCAGTGAAGTGATTTGTTTAAGTGCATTTATATTTGTGTCCTGTTACTAATATTTATTTGTGTTCTTCTATCTCGGTTTATTTTCTTATTATTATTGTTGATGTTTTTTTTTGTTTTGTTTTGTAAACCCTAATCACAGAAGGCTGAAAGAGGCTAAAGCCCATAACAGTCTACATTTTTATATCACACCCTTTGTTAGAGCAGTACATATATCTAAATAAAAAATTTAAAATTGAAAAAAAAAAAAAAACCCGAGCTTTACAAAGTAGTTAATTGATTTAATTCTTCTAATTCGCATTTTCTTTTGGCCATATCAACATAATTATGTAATAAACATTAAAACGTATGCATTTGTACAACCGTTTTTTTCTTCTTCTAAAAAAGGCAGCAGTTTTTTTTTCTATTTCACAGCGGTAATAAAAACATGTTTTTCATGTAAACCTGTTTCAATAACAGTTTATTTGCGTTGTTTCAGTTACAAACGTTGTTTTTGACGGAGTCAGGTAGAAAATGTAAGGGTTTCGAAGCGATAACGTTTGTAAACTTCGTAGCTATATATCTTATTGCTAATATTTCTTTACAAAAGGGAAAGTTCGATTTATTCTATTCATAATATTGACAACAAAAACAAAAACAAAATAAACAACAGTCTCTAAGATTTTCGTATTATATTTTAATAATAACATTATTGTCTTACAAACAAAAACAAGAAATTTGGAGAATTTGATATTTCTTTATGTGGTTTTTAATGCAGTTATATAACAAGGAAGAAGTGTAGATTAATGCAAGGAAAAGAAAATTGAGCGAATTATTTTACAATTTTGATATATTTTGTGATTATTTTTCAAGTTTTCACTCGTGTATGTGAAAGTAAGTAAAAATCAATAAAATATAATAGTTTAACATTCAACTTTCTTACGAGAAACGAAGATTTAGATAAGGTATTAATCTCTAAAACTGGCGGTAATTAAAATGAACATTGTTAGTGAGAAAACGAGAATTTCGATGTAGTAAACTCTACGATTTTCATAGAATTTCTTTTGGTAAGCTATCCGCTTCAATAACTAATAACTCGAGTGATTTCTCTAAATGAAGAACAATATTTTCATTCATTAGAAATAACGATGTTAACGAAAAAATTGCACGAAATTTTTTTTTTCTAGAAAGAGCCAAAGACCAGGTGATAAAACCTGTTATAAAAGTTACTTTTGCTCTTGCTACTGTGCATTTTTCTGAGAACAATAAAGTAAATTTCAGCAGCTTTCAGACTTCTGAAGCCAAAATTTATTGGGAATCATCACTGTAAAATCAAGAATTCTATGCCTTCAATAAAATCGGTTTGCGACGTACTTTTCCAGAACATTCTTCAGGCATGCTTTTTCTTCTTTCTCAAAAGGAATTTATCTGCAAGATTATCACCAATAAAACTTCTTTAGAGTTTTTTCATTATTTCCTTTATTTTTGCATTCAAATTTGTTAATACTTCTTTTGACGATTTAACAAAGTTGAAAATGTAAGAGAAGAAGCACTTGACTACTTGAATCGTTATTGCTATGCTTTTTCCACTTGACTCTCTGCATGATGCACCATTATGATTGCTAATTTATTTTTGAATTTACTTTGAAAAAAAACCAAAACTGAATCTTTATTAAAATAGTGAATTTATCCGCAAATTTAACTCATTTTTGCTTCAATTGTATACATTTGAATATAATTCTGAAACTTTCCGAATTCAAATGCTCTTTTACAGGCACTTTTTCATGCTCTTTATTATATCAAATTCTTAGATTTGTAATCATTTCAGAATATTTCATTCTATAGACAAAAATAAGTTTTATAACAAATTGTGCATATGTAAAAAAATAAATAAACATTTAGATTCAAAGTTTGTTTAAAGTAAAGTCACAATAATTGTAATGATGTATCAGGTAGAGAATCAAGTGGAAAGGCATAGAAACAACCATTGAAAATAGTCAAGTGATTCTTTTCTTCATTATAACTCGTATAG